CTTCTCTTCAGTACAAATTTAATGGCGATTTCTGTGATGTTCCAATCAGACTGGATAAGAAAGCTCTTGGAAGCGTCCGTTGAAATTTTGTCCTGGAGCTGAAGGAGCCCAGGCCACCAGGGGGCGCAGTCTCCTAACCTGGGCCCCTTTCCTACCCAAGTCTGCCTCGGCTGGGAACCCTGGCACTCAGAAGCTTCATTCAGGCCTGAGCTTGTACTGGCCCAGGGACCAGGACCCTAGGCGTCTCTACTGGAGGACTGCCAGAACCTCCAGACTGCCATTTCATCCTTTGCTCTTTTGCTGTTTCACTTCCTCAGATTGTCCTTCCTTCCTTCCTTCTTTTCTTCCTTCCTTCCTTCATTGGTTTATTCACACCCACTGTGTGCAGACACAGGATACAGTGGTGGCCAAGATAGACAAGCCTCTGCTCTCATGGGACTGACATTTTAACAGGGACAAAAGGCAATGAAAAAACAAACACTTAATATAATGTCCAAAAAAAAACTCACCAATTGCCATCGAGTCGATTCTGACTCATAGATGGTGGTAAATTCTGTGGAGAAAAATAAAGCAGGGTAAAGAACTAATGAGTGATCAGGGGAAGGTGTTAGGGGGCCACTACTTTAGATAAGGTGATCATGGAAGGCTTTTTGGAAGAAGCAGCATCTGAGTAGAGACTTGAACGAAGTGAGAGAACCTGCCATTTGGATATCTGAGGAAAAGTGTTTCAAGCAGAGGGAGCAGCAAGTACAAAAACCCAGAGTCTGGCATGTGCTTGGTGCGTTGGAGGAACAGTGAGAAGGCCAATGTGGCTGGAGGAAGAGAGTGGTGGGAGGTGGACCCAGTTCATTAGGATCGTGTAGGTTATAAGGACTTTGCATTTTATTTTAAGCACAACGCCAGCCCACGGGAATGCTGAAAGCTGAGGGTGATGTGGTGTGATTTCTGCTTTAAAAATATCATTCTGGGTGCTGCATAGAGAAGACTCTGGAAGGGTGGAAGCAGGGAGACCTGTTAGAAGGCTGTTACAGTGTCCAGGAATGAAATGACAGTGGCTCGGACAACAGTGGCAGCAGTGGCCAGAAGTGATTCCATGTGTAGCATATTTTGAAGGTGGAATGTACAGAAGCTGGGGTATGAGAGAGAGAAGAGAAAGCAAGAATGACTTCATAGTTTTTACCGAACCAGTTGGATGGATGGTGGTGCCATTTACTGAGATGAGAGAGGTAGGAAAGTCACAAGTTTGAGTTGGGACATGATGGTTTGAGATATCTGGTAGATATCCAAGCAGAGATGCTGGACAGGTGGTTGGATATTGGAGTCTGGAGTCCTTGGGGGAGAAATCAGGGCTGGGCATATAACTTGGGGGTCCTTGGCATATAACCAGTTAACCAGTTGCCGCTGAGTCGACTCTGACTCACAGTGACTCCATGTGTGTCAGAGTAGAACTGTGTTCCATAAGGTTTCCAATGGCTGGTTTTTTGTAAGTAGATCACCAGGCCTTTCTTCTGAGATGCTTCTGGGTGAACTCAAAGCACTAACCTTTCAGTTAGCAGCCAAGCATATTAACCATTTGCACTACCAGGGACTCCCCTTGGCATATACCAAAACCCAGTTGCCATCAAGTCATTTGTGACTCATGGTGACCCCAGGTGTGTCAGAGTAGAACTGTGTTCCATAGGATTTTCAGGTGGTATTAAAAGTCATAGGACAGGATGAGTTGAGTGTGGGGAGAGGTAAATCTGATGGCCAAGTCAGGAGGCAAATGAGGGGCCCCCAAAGGAGATGGAGCAGCAGCCAGTGGAGCTGGAGGAAGCCAGGGAAAAGAGAGTGCTTCCAGGAGGAGGGCTTGATCAGCCTGGACCAGTACTGCTCCTCGGCTGGGTAGGATGAAAGCTGAGAAGCCACCATTAATTTGGTAACGTGGAGGTCACTGGGGACCTAGATGAGAGGAATCTCAGACAACTGGTGGGGACAAGAGCCTGACTGGAATGAGTTCAAGAGATAATGGGAGACAGAGGGATAGAGAGACAACTCCTTCACGGAATTTTACTCTCAAGGGGAGTTGTTGTCAGGTGTCGTCAAGTCAGTTCCAGCTCATAGCGACCCTATGTACAATAGAACTAAACACTGCCCAGTCCTGTGCCATCCTCTAAATAGTTGCTATGTTTGAGCCCGTTGTTGCAGCCACTGTGTCAGTCCATCTCATTGAAGGTATTCCTCTTTTTTGCTGATCCTCTACTTTACCAAGCATGATGTCCTTCTCCAGGGACTGGTCCCTCCTGACAACACATCCAAAGTACATGAGACGAAGTCTCATCATCCTCCCTTCTAAGGAGCATTCTGGCTGTAATTCTTCCAAGACAGATTTGTTTGCTCTTCTGGCAGTCCATGGTATATTCAATATTCTTCGCCAACACTATAATTTAAATGCATCAATTCTTCATTGTCCAGCCTTCACATGCATATGAGGCAACTGAAAATACCATGGCTTGGGTCAGGTGCACCTTAGCCCTCAAAGGGACATCTTTGCTTTTTAACACTTTAAAGAGGTCTTTTGCAGCAGATTTGCCCAATACAATACATCATTTGATTTCTTAATGGCTGCTTCCATGGGCATTGATGGCAGATCCAAGTAAAATGAAATCCTTGACGACTTCGATCTTTTCTCCGTTTATCGTGATGCTGCTTATTGGTTCAGTTGTCAAGATTTTTATTTTCTTTATGTTGAGGCGTAATCCATACTGAAGACTGTAGTCTTTGATCTTCATCAAAAGGAGTAGAATAAAAGAAAGGCCTGGTGATCTACTTCTGAAAAATCAGACATTGAAAACTCCATGGAGTATAGTTTCATTGACACCAGTGGGACCGCCATGAGTTGGAGTTGATTCAATGGCAACTAGTTTGTGAGGGCAGTGGTTTTTCAGAGGTAGAATTCCTGACTTCCATGTGGGAGATTCAGTTTGATTCCTAGCCAATGCATCTCATGCTCAGCCACCACCTGTATGTCAGTGGAGGCGTACGTTGCTATGACACTGAATGGGTTTCAATGGAGTTTCCAGACTAAGACTAGGAAGAAAGGCCTGGTGATCTACTTTTAAAAATCAACCAATGAAAACTCTATGGCTCACAAAGATCCCATCAGTAATCAATCGGGGGGATGGTGTAGGACCCTGAGTTTCCTTCTGTTGTGCATGGGGCCACCATGAGTTAGTTGGGTGATGGTGGAGAGGGGAGAACTGCAGCAGAGGAGCTCAGGGAATGAGTGGAGGGTGGACACCTCTTCACTTATCCGAACACTCACATGTGTGCTCAATCTTCCCGCCACCAGCCCAAGCCACCTGGGCTGGGCACTGGGAGCAGAGTGGGGACCCTGAGGACAACCCCCCCCCAGGTGGGGATGTAGCAGAGCACAGCCCATCTCGATAGTGCGTGCCAGGCGCGGGGCCAGCTTGCAGGGCTGCGGGCAATGACTCTGCCCAGGGCCAGGTGCGGCAGTCAGGGCAGGGCCCAAGGTTAGGCTCAGGGCGAAGCCATGGGCCTCCTCCTATGCTTGCTTCTCCCATTTATTTCTGCCTTCGCTCTCTGGCTCCCCCTAGACTTGCCCTCCGCTAAAACCAAACCAAACCGAATCCACTGCCGTCAAGTCGATTCCGACTCATAGCGACCGTGTAGGACAGAGTAGAACTGCCCCATAGGGTTTCCAACGAGCAGCTGGTGGATTCGAACTGTCGACCTTTTGGTTAGCAGCCGAGCTTTTAACCACTCTTAACTACTGCGCCGCCACGGCTCCTTCCCTAGTGCCTCCGATTTAGAAATTCTGGAGTCTCTGCTGCAGTGCCTTGCGCCAAACAATACTAGCCTCCTGACGGCCCTGCGAGACGGCTGTTACTGTCTCATTTTTCCGAGAGGGAAACTAAGGTTGAGAGACGATTAAAGTTGTACAGCTCTTTTTCAAAGCCGGCTTTCTTTTCACTCTGCCAGCTGGAGGCGCAAAGGGCTGGCGAGCCGCGGGCGAGTCCCGGGAGACGCGGTGTCTCCCAGACGCGTCGTCCTGAAGCCCCGGCCCCGCCCCACTCAAGGGGACCCGGGCGGGCATTGCCATCCAGCTCCGAGGCTGGGCGGGGCTTCCCCTAGACGAAGAGGCGCGTTGTGGGCGTGCCTTTATCGAAGGCGTGGCCTCGGGCTCCGCCCCCAGCAGCGGACTCAAAGCGGACCGCGGACGCGGGGCGGGATCAGAACTGGGGACGGGCGGCCGATCCCAACGCGGCTCTTTGGAGCCGGCGGCCAAGCAGCGCCCCAGCGGGGCCAAGCAGGTACAGGCGACCGCGCGGGCGTCTCGGGCTGGGCCAGGCGGGGGGCGGGGACCTGCTGAGGACCACAGGGGGATTAGGGGTCGTGGCCAGAGCTGGGCTTCCTTCTGCGGGCCGGGCCCCTTCCCCCACCCCCGCCTTCCTGCGGTGAAGCCGGCTGTGTCGGGGCCGATTGGCGCCTGCGCCGCTTCCTGCGGCCTGGACCCGACCAATGCTTGGGGCCTGGGCGGGGGTACCAGGGGAAACTGAGTCACGTCGGGATGGGAGCAGGCCTGTGTAGGAGGCACCACCCCCACTAGACTCCAGGATGGATCCCCTTAATGGGCACTCTTTGGGGTCCTGGCCCCCACCGATCTTCGCAGGGGCCGCGCCCCACTCTCCCAGCGCCCAGGGGTCCCGCCCAGGCTCCCAGCAGCCTCGGTAGGGCCCGGAATGGCTAGTACCCGCTCCAGCCGCTTCGCTCCCTCGTCCTCCCCTCCCCCTCGCGTCCAGAGCCCCCGTGTGCTCCCTCCGCTGGCTCTCCTCGCAGTGTCAGCTTACACGCCTTATATAGTCCGAGCAGGCTCCAGCCGCGGCCTGCCTGCCTGTCGGGACCTGGGGGCGGGGGAGAGGAGCGCTGGCCCCTGACTCACCCCGCCGCCCAAGGCTCCGTGCTGGCTTGGGGGCAGGACATGCCAACCTAGCCCAGCGGCCCACCCCTGGATGAAAACCTCACATCTGGATGCAGGCTCTCTCAGCCTCCCATCCCTGGGGGAGAGGGGCTGCCCCTGTCTTTTCAAAGTGTGTTCTGCCAGCCGGACTCCTAGCCGAGCCTGACAAGGGGCCTGTCCTCCAGGCCCTGGGTGTGCTGGGTGCCCACCCGTGCCTGCCTGGTTCCTGGCCAGGGCTGGTATCCAGCGGTCAGCCCACCTGTCCACCCACCATGCGGGCCACTCACATTCTCTTCTCTTCAGGAGCAGGCACCATGGATTCTTTCAAGGTTGTGCTGGAGGGGCCAGCACCCTGGGGCTTCCGGCTGCAAGGGGGCAAGGACTTCAATGTACCCCTCTCCATCTCCAGGGTGAGCCAAGGCTGAGTTCAGGGTTGGGGAAGAGGCTCTCCCAGGGTCTTTGGGTGCTGAAGTCTCCAGTGGATGGTGGGAGGAGTCCGAACAGGAGCCAACCAGGGGCCACCAGGTCAGGACGCATCCAGGTGGAGAGATGTAGTATGCCCTTCCCTTCCCTCATGGAACAAGGCCGCAAAGATTCCCAACTAGGTGACTATGAAGCCCCCACACTCCCTTAGTCCTGCACTAAACTGGATACCTTTCCACAAAGCTCCATGCCAGCCTGGGAGGCCAGAGTTCATGCTCTTCTGTAAGGAGCCTGAGGTCTCAAGAGGAAGTGTCTGAGCCAGTTGGGGGACTGTAATTTCGAGCCAGGTCCCAGGCTGGGCTCTCTGACTGCAGGATCTCACTTCACTCTCACTGCTGACCAGGCAATAGGAATTGTCATCCTGTTTTTCTGAATGAGAGAACCCAGGACATAGAGAGAGGTAGAAGGGTTTGTTCAGCAGATCCATGGCAGAGCAAGGATTTGAAGTCAGGCACCGGGACAGGGCCTGCAGTTTGTGTAGGTAGGAGAAAGGAGTTTCTCCCCAGTCTATGTGAGGGCCCCCATCATCATCCACTGGCCAATTCAGGAGGTGGTGGCCTTTGATCCTTGCAGGGGTAGGAGGCCAGGGGCAATCTCTAGGGCTCTACCTTCAGCTGCTGAGAGCCCTGGTGGGGGTGGAGCAGGAGGCTGGCTCCTCCCTGTGGCAGGGGGATTGCCTTATAAGCCCAAGAATGCAGCCCCACACTGGGATGGCCAACTGGGTGGCTGGAGTCTGCAGAGTGGAAAAGGGCTGGCCTGGGCCTGAACCCCAGAACTCCATCAGTGGGCCCCTCTGGCTGAGGAGTGGCCCAAGCCAGGTCCCTGCTGGTCGTCAGGCCATAGCCGGAGCTATGGTGGTCAGTTGTGGGGCACAGAGAGCAAACTGCCTGCCCAGAGTGGGTGAGGCCAGCACTGGGGCTGGTGACTCCGCTCTGATTGTGGCCTGGGGGTTAGGAGGGGGCGGGGACTTCCTTCCCCTACATCCGCCTACCCAGAGAGGCCCACCCAAGTGCCGGTGGGCAGGCAGCTATTGGCAGGAAGCCCAGGGTAAAGCACATCATGGAGGGGGCCAAAGGGTTGTCCAGGCACTGCCCAGTCTGAGAGGGGCCCCAAGGCGGAGTCTGTCTGGGGAGGCTTTGTGGCCAGGCCAGGCAGGAGACGTGCAATGTGTCTCCTGGGGAGCCTTCCACAGGATTCCCCTGGCACCTGCCCTGAAAGCCAAGGGCAGTGATCTCCCTCCTCCCCACACACACACACCCACACAATCTTCAAGCCTTGCCAGCCCCGAAAACCTAGCCCACATCCCCTCTCCCTGGGAAAGTGCTGGCCACTGTGACTGGGAAGTCCTACACCTTGTCTGGTGTCTGAGCCTCAGTTTCCACATCAGTGAGGATGGACAACATAGTAGCCCAGGGGGTGGATTTCCAGATGTGGCCTGTTGGGGGCACTCTGAGCCAGGGCTTCCTTGTCAGCAGCCCCAGCCCTGGAGTTGGGCGTAGGCCCAGGCGGGAGGGGTGGTCTTTTCTGAGTTGGGCTGTCCCCCTCCCCCTTCCCTGACCCCAGAATGGAGGGACAAGGGAGGGGCTAGGGCTGGCTCTGGGCCCAGGCCTGGGAGATGAGGTAACGTCTGGGACTGGGGGGTTGGGCTGTTCAGTGGAGCCCTCAGGCTGACTCACCCCCACCCCGGGAAGTGCCCAGCCCCCTGGCTTTCCCCCTCCTTGGACCCCAGGGCCTCATCCTGCCCCCAGCTGAAGCTGCTCTCTTCTTCACTCTCCAGCCACCCCCAGCTCTCCCCTGTGGCTCTCTTAACCTCTCTGTCCACTACCCTACTCCTCATGTGCTTCCTGCTCTCCTCACCCTGGGAAAGGAAGTACTTCCCACCCTACCTCCCTCTAGCTCCTGCCCACCCCAGACCCCCATTTCTGACACAGCCCACACCTTCCAGGAGTCACTCTGTGTCAGTAGGGAGTGGCTGGACCAGGTTTCCCTTCTACTGACTCACTGTGACCTTAGTAAGTCATTTCCCCTTGAGGGTGTTACTTCCCCTTGCCCATGATAAGGGGTTAGTTGAACTAAAGGTGAGGTAGTGAATCCAGGCCCCAAACCCAGCTAGGAGTCAGGAGGTCTTTCCAGGGAGGCTTACCCTGAGAGGGGCCCCAGTGCTCAGCAGAGGTGGCCCAGTGTGGAGGAGCCTTAGGGCCCGAGTCAAGTCCTGGCCCTGCCTCTTACCGACTGGGTGACTCGAGGCAAAATGCTTAACCTCTCTGTGTTTTCCCATGTGTAAAATGGGTATAATCTCAGGCTCCATTCCACAGAGTTGTTGGAAGATTCAGTGTCCATATGTGGCCTGGAAACTAGTAGGTGCTCAATAAATGTAAGCTACTATGATAACTATTATTACTTAGCAGGTAAAGAGGGAGCCACCCAGCTCTCCTATCCTTTTAACCTCCCAGGCGTGAAATAGAGCCAGCTAACACAGCTTTCCTACTTTCTGGCCCCAGTGCTATCAGTCTCTGCCATCTCTCTGGAACCTCTGCCCTCTCCTCTTCCTGCAGGGGCTCACTCTGTACATTGGCTCACCTGAGGAGCTTCCTGGGGTTTCAGGCAACCTGTGCCCCCTTGTCTTAGTCATCTAGTGCTGCTATAACAGAAATACCACAAGTAGATGGCTTTCACAAACACAAATTTATTTTCTCACAGTTTAGGAGGCTAGAAGTCCAAATTCAGAGTGCCAGCTCTAGGGGAAGCCTTTTTCGTTCAGTTCTGTGGGAAGGTGCTTGTCTCTTCATCTTGTTTCCTGGTTCCTTGGAGATCTCCATGTGGCTTAGCATCAATCTTCCTTCATCTCTGCTTGCTTAATCTGCTCATTTTATATCTTGAAAGAGATTGACTCAAAACACACCCTACACTAATCCTGCCTCATTAACAACAAAGAGCCCATTCCCAAATAGGATTATAACCACAAGCATAGAGGTTAGGATTTACAACACATATTTTTGGGGGACACAATTCAATCCATAACACCCCTCTGAGCACTGTGAAGTGTAAACCTGCCTCCGAGTACTTCTGTGGAAACTGCTTAGGACCAGGTCCCTTGCCAGGCAGCTGGGCAGTCCTTAGGCTCAGACCCATGAACCGCTGAGCCACCCCTGCCTGGTTTGCTGGCGCTGGGCTAGAGGGCTGGGGAGGTGCACTGGGATCTGTCAGGGTCTCCTCTATCAGGGGCCTGCTAATTACCCCTTCTGCCATCAAGGCCAAATCCTGGTTCCTACTGTGCCCTCAGGTGCCTCCCATTAAAAAAAACATTGCCCGTTGAGTCGATTCCAACTCACAGAGACCCTATAGGACAGAGTAGAATTGCCCCCGTAGTATTTCCAAGGAGCAGCTGGTGAATTCAAACTGCTGATCTTGTGGTTAGCAGGTGAGCTCTTAACCACTGTACCACCAGGTCTCCTCAGTTGCCCCAGGAACCAACCAAAAAAAAAACCAAATCCGTTGCCGTCAAGTCGATTCCAACTCAGCAATCCTATAAGACAGAGTAGAACTGCTCCATAGGGTTTCCAAGGCTGACGGATTTGAACTGCCAACCTTTTGGTTAGCAGCTGAGCTCTTAACCACTGCGCCACCAGGGACTCCCAATTCAGAGTCTGAAAGATGGTGATGCTGTGGGGGAGGGGGGGGTGATGTGGCATTTGCAAGCTTGTGGTGACACCATTTACAGCCCATTTGCAAGCTTGTGGTGACACCATTTACAGCCCATGAAGCCCCACTGAAACCTAGGGCCCCATACAGGCACTGTGCACTAGTAACCTGGAGATGATGTGGCCTACCCCTGGCTCTCGAAGGGGCCTGCTGTAGGGGGGACAGGTTTCCACAGATGGCCCCAAGACAAGGTACTAGGAATATCAGAAGTCAGAGCACCCAGAGGTGTCGGAGAGGAAGGTACCCCATGCACAAGCCAGGGGAAGGAAGGGTATACTTGGTAGGTGGAACAGCCTGGGCAAAGGTCTGAGAAGCCAGCAGGACTCTCAAAAGGCTGTGGGGCTTGGGTTTTATCATGAGAGTGGCTGTTTGTCAATGTCGTAACAATTTCTGGACTGTCAGGGTCTTGGAGTAAACATAAAGAAATAAGTAAATAGGCAGGGTGGTTAGGGTGATGTGAACCTCAGGTGAGCCCCACTACCTCCCAGGTGGCATTAGTATCCAGCAGCTGCCCAGAAATCTGTTGGATGGAGAGGCCTTTAGGTTGTGGAATTGGGGCAGTTTAGGGTAGGGCAGGTTGACGGCTGTTAGCCTGTCTGGCTTGCGAAGTCCTGAGCCTCTATAACCCTGTCCCTCCGTAGCTGACTCCTGGCGGCAAAGCCGCGCAGGCCGGTGTGGCTGTGGGCGACTGGGTGCTGAGCATTGATGGCGAGAATGCGGGGGCCCTCACGCACATCGAAGCCCAGAATAAGATCCGTGCCTGTGGGGAGCGCCTCAGCCTGGGTCTCAGCAGGTGTGAAGGTGCTGGCCAGCCTGGAGGGTGGGGGATACCCTCCCTGGCCTGCCCTCACCACTTCTTCTTTTTCTCCAGGGCCCAGCCAGCTCAGAGTAAACTGCAGAAGGTAGGCGGGCGGCCGGCCGGGGACATGGGGCAGGGGGACATGGGGCAGAGGGCAGGTAGCGTTGGACGCGGGGTTGGGTGGGTTGCTGACCTGCCCTCCTCAGCGCAGCCGCAGTTCCTCCATCCCTGGCCGGGAGTAGAGGTTTGAGGCCGGAGCTGGGGAGGGCCTGGGGGACCCGAGCTGAGCCGGGGGCTGCCGCACGGTCCAGGCTCCACGCATGTCTGTCTGCCTGCCTGCCTGCCTGCCCGCCTCCCTCTCGCGCTGGCCTGTGTTGTGAGCCCGCATATCGTCTGCCCTCGGGCCTGCGTGGGCTGAGATCATAGCTCCCAAATGGGCCCCTTACTTGAAACCCAAGTCACCCCCTCCCCTGTAGCCTCCGGCCAGATGTGTGGGGGCGGGGCTGGAGCAGCAGCTCTCTGCGCCAGGAGGGGCACTACACTTCAGCCCGGACCCCCTGCCCCGCCCGCCCTGCCCTGCCCTGCCCTGCCCTGCCCGGCTCTGTCTCCGCTCAGGCCCCGGCCCCCGCCGCGGACCCCCCGCGGTACACCTTTGCACCCAGCGCCTCCCTCAACAAGACAGCCCGGCCCTTTGGGGCGTCCCCGCCTGCTGACAGCGCCCCGCAGCAGAACGGGTACGTCGGTTCCTGCCCGCCCACCGTCCATGCCACCTCTCTGCTGCCCCACGCCCGCTGCTGCTCCGTCTGTGCTGCGCCCCGGGCCGGGCCAAAACCGTGCGGCAGCAACCCCTGGCAGCCAGGGCGGGGGGGCTGCAGGCACAGGGCCCTTCCCTAGGGGGTGGCTCCTGCCCAGGCACCGCCCTCCTGGGGGCGCTGAATGAGGCAGCGCCCCCATTGGCGGCCTAGGGTTGGGGTGTGGTATTGGGCCCAAATGAGCCCCAGATACTCCCCACGTCCTTGCCCCTGGCTGCTCTGACTCCTCCCCATCTCTCTTCCTCCCCTGTGTCTGTCCCTTTGTCCCTTTATCTGTCCATCCGTCTGTTTCTCCACAGGTGCAGACCCCTGACAAGTCAGTGAACCCCCTCTGCCTGTCCCTGTCCTCCTTCCTTTGACACTCTGGGCGGTAGCCCCTCCCTGCCCTGACTGCCCTCCTCCCCTGTCACTCCCCCCCCCCACTCACCAGCAGGGCCCCTGGCCTCTCCCTTCCTCACTCTCCCCATCACCCTTATCCACACAAACCAAATCCTGGGAGGGGCTGCCCCCACGCCCACCTCTAGCATGCCGTCTGAGCCATACCCTCCCCACAGACAGCCGATCCGACCACTGGTCCCCAATGCCAGCAAGCAGCGGCTGATGGAGGACACAGAAGACTGGCGGCCGCGGCCTGGGACAGGCCAGTCCCGCTCCTTCCGCATCCTTGCCCATCTCACGGGCACTGAGTTCAGTAAGTGCCAGCCCAGGGCAGGGCAGACTCTCCTTCTGGCCCCCAGTCTGGGCTCCGGTGCCCTGTGGACTCTCTGCCAGAGCTCAGGGCTAGGATGACCTTTTGTCTCACCTTGGTCAATGCCTACCTCTGCCCTCTCAGTGCAAGACCCGGATGAGGAGCACCTGAAGAAATCGAGGTAACAGGACGGGCACCAGCCCCTCTCTCCTACCTCCTGCCTCTCCCCATTCCAGCCACCGCTCCCAGGTCTGCTCGTGTTACTGCAGCCAGGGCTCTTCATCTTTCCTCCTTCCTTCCTTCCTTCCTCCCCTCCTCCCTCCCTTCCTCCCTTCCATCTCTCCTTCCTTCTACTTCCTCTTCCTTCTTTCTCTGCCCCTCAGGGAAAAGTATGTCCTGGAGCTGCAGAGCCCACGCTACACCCGCCTCCGGGACTGGCACCACCAGCGCTCTGCCCACGTGCTCAACGTGCAGTCGTAGCCTGGCACTCTCGCCGGCCTGCTGCCCTCTCTGCCTCTCTCTTTCTGTTCTTCCCGCCCAGGGCACCCCCACCTTGGGTGCCTCCAGCTTCTGCCTACCTCACCCACCCCTTTTCTGCCCTTGGACTGAGGCTCCACAGGCCTGGCCGTGGCACCCCCACTTGGCACTGGCCTGGCTCCGTCTGACACTGCCGCCCCTCTCTGCCCTATGTTGCTGCTGTCTGCCAGGTCCACGCCAGCTTGGGCATGGAAATAAACATTCTCAGCTCTGTTGTCTCTGTCTCTGTCTTCTCTCTTTGTGGGTCTGGTTTACATTTGGGGCATGGGAGTGTTTGATGGTTCAAGGTCTCTGTGGGAGGGGGTACCTGGCCAAGAGGGGCTGCCCTGCCAGCAGAGCCAGAGCCTTGGTATGAGGGGATCCCAAGAGCTTCCCCCCAGCTCTGCACAACAGACCAGCCAGTTGGCATCTGGCTGGAGAAGCTGCCTTTCCCATCCCTCCCACAGTGGGACCTGGAACCCAGCCCAGCAGCTCTCACTCACCCAAGCGTCTTCCAGGGGGCCAGCAGGACCAAGGTCGGCGGGGGGTGTTGAGGTGGGGGGAGCATGCCAGGAGCCTCAGCCCTGCAGGGCCTTGAACGGAAGGTCTTGCAGCCAGGTGCCCAGGACAGAAGCCCCAGCCCCAGCCTCAGCTACAACCCAGGAGCCCTGGCCTGGTGAGAGAGAATGGGCTTCGGCCTGGGGAAGGGTGGGTAGTCCCCAGGGGAATGGGGGTATCAGGCTCCCCCAAGCTACCTCTGCCCTTTGGGGTCCCTGAACAACCCTCTGGAGTCACTCTCCTTGGGCCTGGCAGGCCCTACCAACCCCAGCCCCACCAGCCGCCCGCCCTGGGCCATGGACCCTGCGTTTGCTGAGCGCTACGCCCCAGATAAAACAAGCACGGTGCTGACCCGGCACAGCCAGCCGGCCACACCCACGCCTCTGCAGAACCGCACCTCCATTGTGCAGGCGGCCGCCGGAGGGGGCATAGGAGATGGTAGCGGCAGCAGTGGAAAGACTCCCGTGTGCCATCAATGCCACAAGGTCATCCGGTGGGTGGCCTGTTCCTTCCCTACCCTGGCCTTTCTATGCCACAGCCCAGCCCTGGCGTCTTTCCTATCTGCCCACCCGTCTTGCCTCAGCTGCCACTGCTGGAGGAGACGGATTCAGTTGCTGGTCAGGATGAGGGGTGGGGACCTGAGCTGGGACCTCAAACTCTTAATTCCCATACCGCCTACCCCCCACACCAGCCCCTATCAGGGTTTGTCCTGGTGAAATGGAGGAGGTGCCAATGACACGCTTAAGCTGCAGCCTTACTGCTCTGGGCAAAGAAGGGCCTGCACCTTCCTAGCCCCTCTGCCTCTCTTGCGGTCACTCAGCCTCTCTCTGCTAGGCCTCTGCTCTCAGAGCAGGCAGACTAGAGACCCCCTACAGGACCCAGCAGGGTCGTACAGCCCCCCATAGTCAGTGCACGAGGTTCTAGCACCTGCCCAGTTCTCAACCCAAGCCCTGCTCTGCTCTTGATTTCTGTCTACCCTGCAAAGCTCCCCCTCCTTCAGACACTCCATTTATCTGGGAGCTGCAGACCCCTCCCCTAGGGAGCCCCTAGGCTCAGCCAGGCCAGATGGAGCAGGCAAGCAGGACGGGTCAGCTCAGGTGCCCACTGGTCTTCTAGGGCTCATGGGCACTCGGGCCTCCTGCCCCCCAGGGCTCTGTCTCTCTGCCATTTCCTCAGGTTCATCTCAGGAGGCTCAAGTCCTCAGCCCACACCCATTGTAACTCTTTTCCCTGTCCTACAGCTGTACCTTTCTCTCTCTCATCTGTCATCAAAATGGTGCAGCCTGGCAGAGTGGGCCCTTTCCTGGCCTCATTACCCTCACTGTGTGACCTTGGGCAAGTCATTTCCCAGGCCAGATTCCTTTCTATTTGGAAAATGGGAGAATGCATTTTCCCTCTCAAGGCTTTCTAGTAAGTGCTCAATAAACTCACTTGAGCTCTAGCCAGGAGCCCCAACTCATTGGCATGTATGCGCTCTCCCTGCCCCTTGCCTCCCCTCAGGGGCCGCTATCTGGTGGCGCTGGGCCACGCGTACCACCCCGAGGAGTTTGTGTGCAGCCAGTGCGGGAAGGTCCTAGAAGAGGGCGGCTTCTTCGAGGAGAAGGGGGCTATCTTCTGCCCCCCCTGCTATGATGTGCGTTATGCACCCAGCTGTGCCAAGTGCAAGAAGAAGATCACAGGCGTGAGTGGGGCTCGGGGGGGGGATGGGAAGGCAGGTCCCGGTGGTCAGCACTGAGCAGTGTTTGTAGAGCAACTCTGGGGCCTGGAACACTCCCTGCATAATCCCTTTGGAGCTTTAACAGCTTAGTAAAGGGGCCGCTACATTAGCCTCGCTACAGATAAGGTGAGTTAGCCAGGATCCTCTTAACAAGTGACCAGAAGCCTACTCAAAAGCCTATTTATTGGCTCAAATAACTGGCAAGCCCACGGGGAACTAATTTCAGGCCCAGTAGAATCCAGGTAAGGTCCCTAGGTGGCGCAAACGGTTTGTGCTTGACTGCTAACCTAAAGATTGTCAGTTTGAACAAGCCCAGCAGTACCATGGAAGAAAAGGCATGGCGATCTGCTTCTGTTAAGATTGCAGCCAAGAAAACCCTATGGAGCAGTTCTACTCTGTAACACATGGGGTCGCCATGAGTTGGAATCTACTCAATGGCAACAAGTAACAACGGAATCCAGGTACTGAGGTTATCAGGACTCTTTCTAGCATTTGCCTCTGGTTTCTTCTGTGTTGGCTTCATTCCCCAGCGTGCTCTTCCTTAAAAGGCTACAGAGGGCATGCCACAGTGGCTCTAGGGCTACATCTTTCCAGCTTAGCACCACACACTGAGAGCATCTCTGTCTCAATTTATGTAACAAAAGCTTCAAGTGCTGATGCTCATTGGCCTGGTTTGGGTCACATGCCCATCCCTGAACCAAGCCCCGTGACTGATTGACCAGGGAGGTCTGGGTTATACCCGCCGCAGGAGCAGATTCTGAGACAGCCTCACCTGAACCACAGACTGGGAGTGAGGCATGAGTAGTTCCCTAAGAGTAGTTCCCTAAAGTAAAACCAGAATGACATTGTCTTAGGAAGAGAAGTCCTGGACAGGCCAAAATAAGAGATGGCTACTGTGTCAGCTGGGAATGTGTTCAGCTGCAGTAACATAAGTCCCCACTACAGAGATTTAAACAGAAGAGTTTATTTGTTTCAATCATAAGTGTCCCAGGGCTGAACAGCAGCTCAAGGATGTCTTCAGGAGCCCAGGCTTTTCCTGTCTTTTTGCTCCAAAATTCTTGGCATAGTTTGTCCTCAAGTTTATCGTGTCATGGTTGTCAAGTAGCTGCTCAAGTCCCAGGCCTTATGTCCTTGTTCCAGGCAAGAGGTAAAGGGAAGGAGCAATTGGCATTCTTTTAGCAGGGTCTTACCTTCTGACTCTAGAAGAAAAGCCAGGAACTTCGTCTTTGTCTCATTGTCTGGAATTGCATGACCACCCTAGGCTGCAAGGGAAGCTGGGAAATCCAGGATTTAGCTTTCCAGCCTCAATCACAGAGGAAGAAAAAGGGGGAGCGAGTTGTGAAAGGCTTTTGAGAGGTTAATCCTTAGTGTCTGCTGCATCTATTGTTAGCTGCCATTGAGTCGACCCCCACTCATGGCAACCCATGCACAAAGGAAGGAAATGCTGTCTGGTCCTGCGCCGTTCCCATGATCGGTTGCAGATTGGACTTTCGTGCTCCATAGGGTTTTCATTGGCTGATTTTCAGAAGTAGATCACAAGGCCTTTCTTCCTAGTCTGTCTTAGTCTGGAAGCTCTACTGAAACCTATTTAGCATCAGGAGGCAGGCCCCCACTGACAGATGGGTGGTGGCTGCACATGAGGTGCATATTGCCATGTCTAAGGCATGAGAAAACTGAGACTCTGAAAGATGACTTGATGGGCTATAAGGGCATAGGCCATTGAGTGGCAGAGCCAGAAACTCAGACTCAAAAGTTTGTGATTCAGAATCCTGTTCTTCCCACTGATGTTAAAGACAAAACATAGCCTAATCAGGTTTTCTGTAGGGAAACCTGCCTGCTGCCCAAAGCTGGGCTTGGGACTTTGGTCAGTGTGTGTTAAGAGCTAAGAGTAATGGGCTATCTACCTTCACTCGTTCATTCTCTTTATTAAATGCTAGGCAGTGTGTCCCATGCTGGGGACCAACCGTGAATAAGACATACATGGGCCCTGCCCCCAGGAGCTCATACTGGGGGAGGGTGACTCGGAGGGTGTCATGGGGCTGAGGGCAGAGCCAGCCTTTGTTCTTTAACCCTGGGGAAAGGTGGCAGATGAGGCAGGATTGACAAGCTTAGCGGGTTCCTGTTGTACATATATGGAAACGGAGGCCCAGAGAGGGGCAGATAGTGCATGAGGCTGCACAGAGCTTGAATGGCCCCAAGCCTGCCTGACTCCCAGCTTTAGCTCTCCCTGTGATTCACACTTCCTCTTTCTGTGAATCCAGAGACAGAGCTGCCAGATGTGCCCAGAATGCTCTCTGATGGTAATGTTCCTATTAGTTAGGTTTACCTTGACTGTGAGTAGGAGAAAACTCAAAATAATGTGGTGCAAATAGTTAATGTGTTCGGATGCTAACTGAAAGGTTGGAGGTTCAAGTCCACCCAGAGGTGCTCAGAAGAAAGACCTGGCGATCTACTTCTGAAAGGTCATAGCTATTGAAAGCCTTATGGAGCACAGATCTACTCCGACACACACAGGGTTACCATGAATTGGAGTTGACAGCAACTAAAAAAAGGCTAGAGGTGGGTAGCCCAGTACTAGCATGGCTCACCCAAGGCCCTGTATTTTGTTGCTCAGCCATTCTTAGCACATGCTTACTTACCACTTATAGTCCAAGATGGCTCTTGAGCCTCAGCCAAAATTTCCACATTCCAACCGGCAGGAAGTTGGGGAGGGGAAGAAGGGGGACAGAAGGCCATGGCCGCTGGCTTTTGAGGATGCTACCACATAACCCTTCTGCTTACATCCCACTGGTCAGAACTTGGTCATAGCACATGACCACAGTGCTGCAGGGGAGGCTGGGAAATGTAGTCTTTATTTTGGATGGCCATGTGCCCAGTGGAAAATGGGAGTTCCATGAGTAGGCAAGAAGGGGCCAGATGGATATTACCACAGTTTTGTCGTTGTAATGCCAGCTAATGTTTATGGGGCACTTAACTGTGTCTGGGCATTCAGCTTCACAGTCGTACTATGAAGTCAGATTGGTTATTCCCATCTTAGAGATGAGGAAATTTGCCTAAGATCACAGTCATCCCCCTGCCAGTCTGTGCCACACTCAAGGTCCTGACAGACTCCAGGGAGCCCCCTGCAGGAGACAGGAGTCTGACTTCACCAACCTGACAGGTGCTCCAAGAGGGGCTCTCACTGCCCAGTAGTCCCTTGGGAATATTCCCTGACACCAGCTCTATGTCCTGCCTGTGCCGAGTTCTCTCGTGATGGTGCTGCCCTTGGGGCTGTCAGTATGGAGCACGGGGAATAAGGCTATTACGGTGGAGTTGGAAGGAAGCTCAGGGGGCCTCGGGGCACCTGGCCCAGTCTGGGGGTTATCTGGGGGCCCTGTGCTCCCTCAAGTCTCACTGCTCACTCCAGCCCCTGACTCTGCACTTCAACCCCTCAGGCCCGTCCATTTTGTGCTCTCCTCCTTCCCACCTCAGGGCTTTTGCCCAGGCTGTCCTTGCTGCCAGAAACACTCTTTAGCACCCTTCCTTGTTCAGCATTCTTTCCTCCTCACTGGGGACACAAATGTCACTTCCTCACGAAAACCTTCCCAGATGCCCACCCTCCCCACCAGGTCAGGCCCCCCATGATTTACCACTACACCCCAGTCATTTCCTTTTGTTCCCCCATCTCTTCCCCAGGGGTGAGCTGACATTTGATGAATGAGTGGGTGGAAGTGGCCTCGAAGCTGAACTTAAGGCCTGAGTAGGAATTAGCTCGGAGAAGGATCAGGGGAGAGTATTCCAGGGAGAGGGAATCGCTTGTGTCAAAAGGGAAAGACAGGAAGGGTGTGAGATGAGGCAGCAGAGGTGGGGAGGGCTGTGTTAGGAAGTTTGGAGTGGGGACCGACAAGGTCAGATTTGCCTCACCGAACACTTCCTCTGGGGAGGATGGAAGATGGGCCGGAGAGGGTGGACTGGAGGCTGCTGGGACCTGGGCCTGGGCAATGAGGATGGGAGAGCAGACAGAAAAATGAAGGGAGTAAAACAGAAATTGATAACTGGCCCATAGGTTCTTCTGAAACCTGCCTGCCAGCCCATACCCAAATGGGCCCAGCTCTGGACTTCTGCCCGGGCAGCTGCCACTCCTTTTGAAACATCCTCTCCCACTAGTTCCTTCACCTTGACCCTTTTCCTTTTAAAAAGAGGCAACACGAGGTTGCAAGAAGAGCTACCTTTGAAACCAGGCAGATGTGAGCACAAAACCCATTTCTGTCATCTATTGTTTGAGTGACCTGGGCAAGTCACGTTTTCTGAACCTCACCAAAACAGGCGTGTCAGTAACTCCTGGCCATGGTGGTTGTGAGGTCTATATGGGATGTAATATAGATGTTGTAGAGATCACTAAAGGCCTTTTGGTGGTGCAAATGGTTTGCGCTCAGCTACTAACCAAAAGGTTGGCAGTTCACATCCACCCAGCAGTGCTTCAGAGGAAAGGCCTGGTGATCTACTTCCACAAGATTACAGACATTGAAAGCTCTATGGAGCCCAGTTCTACTCTGACACCTGGGGTTACCATGAATCAGAATCAACCCAACAGCAACAAGTGAAGGTCACAAATGGGCCATCGGAGGGCAAAATGCAACCCATACTTAATATCTAGATTAACCTGTACTGTTTCATTTTTTAATTAATGGCCAACATTTAAAAATCAAATTTCATTTCTAATACTTAGATTTCAACCTGAGCTTTCATACCATTCCTGAATAAACCAGTCAGCATTGCCCCCTGGGGCTGGCAGGTGCTCCCCCATGATACAGTCCCTGCCTTGCCCTATTACTCACCCCTGCCAGCTTTACTCCCTTCTGTCCTCACCTGGCCCTTGCAGGCATTTGGGTCTGGGGCCCCTGGCTCAAATGTGAGGCCATTCTTGCAACCACCCTACAAGGATTAGGTTCCCAGTTCACAAGCAGAAGAACCAAGTCTCAAGAGAAGATAAAGCTGTTGGCCAAGTCACCCAGCTAAGAAGCAAGGTCTAGATGAACCCACAGACCTCTACCCTGTCCCTGGGGCCCCACACTGCCCTCTGCCTGCTTCAGATCTGAATGCTGCATGCTCTGGCTGGCCCAAGGGTTCCAGAGATTGACAACTCAGCCCTCAGGGAGAGCCCAACCTCCAGTGGAGGCAGATGAATTCAGCTCACAAACACTGAGTGCCCAATAAGGGCCAAGGAGGAGTCCCTGGGTCACAAACTAAGCACTCAGCTACTAGCCAAAAGGTTGATGGTTCAGACCCACCCAGAGGTGCCTCAGAAGACAGCCCTGGCAATCTGCTTCTGAAAGGTCACAGCCATTGAAAACTATGGAGCACGGTTCTACTCTGACATATATGGAGCCTCCATGAATCAGAATCAACTCTGTGGTTGATTAACAAACCCTCCTGGACCTTACACTGGAGCAGGAAGAAGTGGGGGAGAGACAGATAATAAGCAGTAGACATAAGTAAATTATCTGACAGTGTGTTAGTAAGGATAAGTGTTATGAAAAAGGGAAAGAGCAGAGTAAAGGGTCTTGGGAGTGTAGGATTAGGAGGGCAGGTTGGAGAATTAATAGTGTTGTCAGAGTAGGCCTCATCAAAAAGGTGACATTTGATCAGAGCTGGAAAGGAGGTGAGGGGTGAGCCTTGCAGATATCTGGAAGAAGAGCATTCCAGACAGAGGGAACAGCCAATGCAAAGCCCCAAGACAGGTGTGTGCCTGGTATGTTTAAGGATTGGCAAGAGGCTGGTGGCTGGATGGGTGCCGGGAGATAGACAGAGATCAGCTGGCTGATAGGGAACAGACCAGACCCTACCAGCCTTGTAGGCCCTTCACAGGACTTTGGTTTTTACTCAGAGAAACATAGACCCCCGCAAGGTTTTGTGCAGAGGGTGGAGGTGGTCTGGCTTGGGTTTGGAGGTTCACTGTGATGACTGATGAGAATAGTCTGTGGGGACAGAGGTAGGAGCAGGTAGGCCAGCTTTGTGTAGTCACAAAGTGACTTGATATCTTGCAGGTGGGCCCAATGGGATTTCCTGGCAGACCTGGTGTGTGGGGTGAGAGAAAGGGAATGTGACCTGAGTGAAAGGAAGGATGGAGTTGCCATCAGCCAGATAGGGCGGCTGTGGGAGGATTGGGTTTGGGGTGCAGAAGCTGGGAGCTGGCTGCACATGGCAAGTCTGAGGTGTGGTGGACAGCCACTGGCACATCAGGCTTGGAGAGAGTTGTGGGCATCGTAGATGTGCAGTCATGGGAAGGAAGAGGCTCCCGGGCCAGCCTTGCTGTGTATCCCCATGCTCGGGAGGGAAAGAGGCCAAGCTGCCCAGGGTGACTCTAGCCCCTCCCAGGAGATCATGCACGCCCTGAAGATGACCTGGCACGTACACTGCTTCACCTGCGCAGCCTGCAAGACACCCATTCGGAACCGGGCCTTCTACATGGAGGAGGGGGCGCCCTACTGCGAGCGAGGTGCAGGGAAGGGGCTAGGGGCGTGGGCAGGCCAGACAAGCAGAGGGTTCAGCTGGAATCCAGCACCCCCTTCCTCTTTACCCCCATCCCCAGACTACGAGAAGATGTTTGGCACAAAATGTCGAGGCTGTGACTTCAAGATTGACGCTGGGGACCGCTTCCTGGAGGCGCTGGGCTTCAGCTGGCACGACACATGCTTCGTTTGTGCGGTGAGCTCCCCCAACTGGCCGCTCCTCGGACTTGGCCCCATCCCCACTGCCCTCTGTTTTTCGCCAGCCCATACCCCCACATGGCTGGCCTTAGGAGGAGTCCCCAGGGAGGGGCCTCTCCTGCTACCCCCCCACCCCATGTGACTAGATCTTCTCTATCCCCAGATATGTCAGATCAACCTGGAAGGAAAGACTTTCTATTCGAAGAAGGACAAGCCCCTTTGCAAGAGCCACGCCTTCTCTCACGTGTGAGCCCCTCCTGCCCACTGCTGCCCGACCCCGCCCCAGCTGGAGGGGTCATGGTTCTGGAACCATCGCCCCAAGACTTCTGGGTAGGACTGGCAAAGGTGGCCCCAGCCCCGGCTCCTGGCCCAAGCCTGGGGTCTCCCATGCCCTGCCTCACCCCCTGCACTGCCCCACTCCCACAACCGGCGTCGCACAACGGTGCTGGCCACACCAGCCCCTATTCACTTCCAGTGCCACAATAAACCTGTATCCAGCTGTGTCCCGTGTGCCCTTATCCCCAGGCATCAGTCGTGGTGGAATTGGAGGCACGCCGTGGTTAAGTGCTCGGTTGCTAACTGAAAGGTTGGCGGTTGAAGCCCACCAGCCACTCTGTAGGAGAAAGATGTCGCAGTCTGCTTCCATGCAGCCTTGGAAACCATATGGGGCAGTTGTAGTCTGTCCTGTAGGGTCCACTCAACAGCAGTGGGTTTAGCAGGGGGAAGACTGAGATGGTTTTCTCAGGGCTGACCGTCTTTTTTTTTTTTTATTACGCTTTAAGTGAAAGTTTACAGGTTCAAGTCAGTTTCTCATACAAAAATTTATACACACATTGCTATGTGACCCTAGCTGCTCTCCCTATAATGTGACAGCACACTCCTCCTTTCCACCCTGGATTTCCCATGTCCATTCAACCAGCTCCTGTCCCTTTTTGCCTTCTCATCTCACCTCCGGACAGGAGCTGCCCATTTAGTCTCAGGTATCTACTTGTGCTAAGAAGCACTCTCTTCACGAGCATCATTTTATGTCCCATAGTCCAGTCTAATCTTCGAAGAGTTGGCTTCGAGAATGGTTTCAGTTCTGGGCTAATGGAGAGTCCAGGGGTCATGTCTTCCGGGGTCCCTCCAGTCTTAGACCATTAAGTCTGGTCTTTTGGCTAGAATTTGAGATTTGCACCCCACTTTTCTCCTGCTCCCTCAGGGACTCTCTGTTGTGTTCCCTGTCAGGGTGGAGGGCTGACCATCTTGGTGGTCTTTGTGGTGGGCCTTCGAGAGGAAGTAAAGGGGGGTACCATGTGCGGAGCTCAGGTACCCACGGCAGTGAGGGGGGCCACTGGAGAAGGAGCTAGGGGTGGGTCTGCAGGGGTGGAGCATGGAGAAACAGGAGCAGCCAGACCAAGTGCCCAGAGGTGCCAAGGTCTGCTTATGGAGAGGGCAGCCCACAGGTCAAGGAGCTGGGACTATCATCTTCTGAGGGCAAGGTGGGGCCATGGAAGAGTTTGAAATCAGGAAGCAGCCAGTTCAGATTTGTGTTGTAAAAAGCGGTCTCTAAGACACTAAGCAGGGTGGGCGAGAGGAGGGAGGCTGGGAGGAAGGATTGGGGCAGTGGCAGGGGCCAGGGAAGGGAGGAGTGGAAAGCTATGTGGCAGAGATAGGACCCAGTGATAGGTTCCAGGTAGCCCAGAGGAAGGAAGGTACTTTTTGCTGGGCATCTAGTACATACCAGACATTTCTTACATTAATGCCTCTAATCCTCCCAGCTACCATGTGATGGGTCTGCAGTTACCCTCACTTTATAGATAAGGTTCAGAAGGGTTAGGAGACCTGACCAAGGTCACACAGCCACTGAGCCACAAGCCAGACTAGAAGCCAGACCTGAGTCATGTGCATTGGCCCAGGACAGGCTGGCACCCAGTAGAGCTGTCTAGCTAGTGCCCTTCTGGGAGGCTTTGCGTCTGCCTGGTACCTCAAGATCCAGAGGTATGGGTGGTGGCCCTGTCATCACCAGGGCTTTCCACTCCCACTGTTGCCCTATACCCCCAAAGGAATTTTCGGCGCTCCTGTTCCAAGTGTGGACAGGAGAGGGGCCAAAGCAGACCAGGGCAGCACAGTGTGCCCACGCACCCAGGTCCTTCCAGGCTCTCTAGCCTCAGCACCTTCCGTGTATCTGTCAGCACTTTCATCGGGTCCTTGGGCCAACCCCCTTTAAGAGAAGAGAAGGGTCTCTCTGTCTCAACTCATATTTAGGCTGTGAGAGAGAAGAGTTTGAGCCCACAGCAGCCTGGGGAAATAGTACTTTGGATGGAGACAAGTGGGGAAGAAGGGGCTGTGTTCTCTCTTGGACCCCTGGGGATTGAGTGCAGGACTTTGTGGCTGTTTTTTTCATGATGTCTTAGCAGATCTAGAGCTGTGCCTGGCACTTAGTGGGGGCCCAATAAGTGTTTGTTGAATGACTGACTGAAGACCCTGTGGCACAAATTAGGAGACAAATTCAGGAAGCTGCTGAAGATCCGAGCTGGGAATGAATTTGGGACAAGTCTGGGACAGTCAACATATACGCTTATAATTGAGCCTCAAGGTTGCTTTCCCCCCTCCCCATTGAAGTGCCCAGGGGCAATCTCTAAATAGCAACACCCCCCACCCCCAATTTCAAGATGAATAGACCTCGATAGCCAGCTATGGCAACACATCAGCAGACATGTCTTACCCCCTCTTGTCCAGCTGCCTCAGTCAGGCACTTTTCATATTTGTGGTGCCTTGGGATGTCATTCCGCACCTCGTCTGGCACCCGCTTGGATTTGCGCCTGAGGGCAAATACTCCCTTCTGTCCCCCCACCCCCCCTTGCTACACCTCTGCCCAGGCAGGTAACATTGGGAGTAACATTGGGAGTAAGATAAGGAGTAACAGCAGCAGATTGAATGTGGTTTTCTTTCAACCTAGACATCCTTGACATATAATACATAACAGTATTCTTCACTTCCACAAAGAAATGTACTCTCTCCCACTTCTCTTGAACCATGAAGCCCTCTCAGTCCATCTTTGGTTTCCACGGATACAAGTGAGAAAGCTCTAAGAGCTGGGAGCCGCCTGGGGGACACCACAGGGGAGCCGGAGAGTGTGGCCACCCCTGTGTTTATCAAGAGCACCCAGAGATTCTGATTTTTACCTGAAATCTGTTTTTTTAATATTGGCAACTAAGTTCGATTTTCAAAAAATCTTATTAAAAAATAAACGGCCCAATCCAGGGTGAGGACAGCCAGGGTCCTAGCAGAAAGAAGAGATCAGAGACCGGGAACTCCACACAGGACTGGACAGAGAAACTGGAAGGAGCCGAGAGACACATGGACAACTTCCAGAGCTTCCGGTCAGGGAAGCCAGGGCAGGGCGAGTGTTTCGAGAAACTGCCAACAGTGTCAATCAGGCAGATAAGGCCTGAGGATTCCCCCAGGCATTTGGAAACAAGGTGACATTTGCCAGATCAGTTTAGTGGAGAGCTGGGGCAGCTGCCAGGGTTAAGGAGGAACAAGGGAGGTGGTGAGGATGTGGAATGAGTGAGTGTGGAGAGTGAGTGAGTGAGTGTGGACAGCGCTTTCAAGAGGCTGGGCTGTGGTGGGTCAAGAGATGGCAGCTGGAGGGGCCACAGGTCAGCCATCGGCCCAGATGGATGAAGGGAGGAAGGAGTTGGGAGGCATCTGGGCCTCAGAGGGATGGTGGTTAAGATGGGAGACACTGGAGGGGGCATATAAGAGGAGAGTAAGGTGGGGACTGAATCTTGGGAAAGAGCGAGCCTAGATCAAAGTAAAAACAAATATTAGGCACCTACTGTGACAGCCATCTCCTCTGTATGCTGTGAAACACAAAGCAATTACTTGAATAATATTATCACCTGTAGGAGATGTTACAGATGAGGGAACCGAGACTCAGAGAGGGAGCGTGACCTGTTCCGAACCACCTAGCTGTGACACACACACACACACCCCAAGGCTGCAGAGATCACAGCGGCGTTCCAAAGCTGGAGGTGTGAGGTGCGGGCAGGGGACTGGGACACGCTCTGGTGCCAGGCAGGGGAGGCCATTAGCGCCCTTGGAGAGTGCCGTCTCCCCAACCGAGGGGGCAGAGCCCATGGCAGGGGGCTGAGTGGGCAGCCGAGCTTTTTTCCGGAGAGGCAGCAGGGCTTTTTCCAGCTCCAAGCGGCTGGAGCTCATTTGAAGTCAGCAGGGAGAGAGTCAGTGGGGCGAGGGACTGTGACGCTGGAGTACAGAGGAAGGAACTAGTGCTTCTGGCACTGCCTCCTCAGTGCTCAGTCCCACATGCTCATTACACATACCAGGTGCCTGCAGTCGTGCGAGCCTCTGCACAGCCCTGCTACAGAAAGGAAACCGAAGTCACACAGGGACAGATGGGGCTGAGATTCAAACTTGAGCCTGCCTGAATCCAAAGCCAACCCTGAGAGTGGAGGAGGGGCCCCTCCCCCATTGGGCCCTAAGGGAGGAGGTGAGGAGGGGCTGGGGCTCCGGGGTCACTTAGCAGCTTGCTGCCTGAGAGTCTGGGGAGAAGGCAGGAGGTCTGATGCTGGGGAGATGTGCAGGGAGGTTGCTGCAGAGCGGTCCAAGAGGACCCCACGGTCAGACTGGGTCTTCTGCTTAGGGCTTTGGATGAACTGGAAACTCAACTCAGGTTTCACCTATGTCCCTTGCTGATTCCTACTACTTGGGACCCCACTACTTGGGGACCAGGTAGATTAGGAAGGATGCTTTCAGCTGCATTTCAAACTAGTTTGAGCAAATTAGGGGATAATGTGTCTCATATAACTGCAAAGGTTAATGGCTTCAGGCATGGCTGGATCCAAGTACACATGGGTGTTATCAGGGGTCAGTCTGTCTCTCAACACCTCTCATCTATTGGCTCTGCTTTCCCCAGCACTGACTTCACTCTCAGGCAGCTCCCCCCATTATTGGCAAAAACACACCCCCAGCAGCACAGGCCCCCCATCCTGCCAGCTCAGCAGCCCCAGTGGACAAAGAGCGCCTCTTGATGGTTCCAGCAAAAGCTCCAGGGCTGGCACTCATTGGACTGATGTGGGTCATGTGTCCATCCCTGAAGCCATCACGAGGACCCTGACCGACAAGGCCTGGAGCTCTAGTGGGAGATCAGCCAGAAGACGGGTGGATGATGGCAGCTGACGAGGGCTGTCATGGCACTGGCCACATTCCGCCCTCCTTGCCCAGGAGCCCCTCCTAATTCATCCCTCAGACCCTACAACTCTAGCCTCAAGAACTGCTTCTGACCCTGACCCCGGGTCAGCCCAGCCCTTGAATGTGGAA